GGGAAAGAGATGAATTCTGAACACCTGTTTGAGAAAGTGAAATATATGGCCTCTCTTTGGGCGTTAACAGATCTTTGGGCGTTAACAGACTTATCTTTTGAAGATTTTTCACTTTCGTTAATCATGCTTAGTTGGAAAGACATTCTGTTTTAGGGTGCAGGACTTGTTTAGTTTAGTTTTCTTTTGTATTCCAGGGGTATCTTCGCTCTGTATTTTATTTTCTCTGCTAGATGGATATCTCATTCATCTTGTTTTGTATGGTTTTCCTTGAGTCTTGATAAAATTTTTGTGTTTCTTATTAAAAAAAATAAAAAATAAAAAACATCTCTAGGGAGTATTTGTGTTTACATCCTTGATGCAAGTATTCTAAGCAATGCCAAATGCTATTTTGTAAGATTTTTTCCCATTCCATAGGTGAAGTTTCTTCTTCTATGTTGTCATTGTTTATGTACTTGTCAAAGGAATATGAGAACACTTTTGGATCCCTTGAAACAGAAACCCAAAAGAGTGATCATTTTTATATGCTGGCAACTTCATTAATCTTTTCTCCATTACGTTTGTGATCTCTCTAAAAATCTTCACCGCCACCAGAGATCCATCGGATAGCTTTCCTTTGTAAACACTACCATAGCCTCCTGGACCTAATTTTTGTTTGAACGAGTTTGTCATTTTCTTTACCTCTGAATATAAATGCATCTTCTGGAGGAAAGGATCCTCATTTTAGTGGAAAAGCCTCTATATTGTCAGCATATTTTGACTTCAAATTCAGGAATACTTTTCATTTTGTAATTTGGACTTCCTAGTTCTTAGGCAAAAAGTGATGAATGCCATCAGAGTTGTTGTACAAATTCCAACCTCGACTTGCTGCTTAGAGAAAACTGAATGCAAGAAGTATTCATCCCTTTTATTTGGAGGTATATCCATGAAGATTACTATCATAGTTATTTGTTTTAGTTGATTAAAACCAGGCGTTTGTTATGCGAATGATAGAAAAATAAATGACTTGTGCCATTTCATTTAGTTTTGAGATGTCAGAATTAGGCACAGAAGAATCATATTGAAAGATATTGCCTACTAATATTTTGTTCCCCAACCAAACTTTTATTCTGCAACATCAGATGACCAGAAAATAGATCAGAACCTAAATCCTAATTTATCAGAAACGTGTGTGACATAATTATAAAGGAATGCCCCCGTTAATATTTACTGGTTTTGTCTTCAACGTTTGTGCTGAAGCTACAATTGCAAGGGCATCTTACAATTATGCTTATGCTTAACGTTCTGAAAACTTTAAACCAAAGTGAATTTCTTGTATAATCAATTTTGTTTGCCGCTTTCTAGGAACGTTGCAAAACTGCTATAACTAATACATTTTTGAATGAAAAACAACTGAAAGTCTGATTTTTCTGAAGTTATGTCAATCTGGAAAGTGATTCACGTGAAATCACTGCTTGAAAAGGTTTCTTCAACCTGTTTGATTTGAGTGGTACTCTTCATTCCGACATTAAGTTGAAGTTTAGGCTGGAAGGTGAGCAAGATTTTCACTGTTTTAACTGTTCAGCTAATGTAGGCAATGGTAATTACACATTTATTGATGTCTGGTTTATGCAGGTATACTGCAACTAGCAGAGAAAGGGCAGCGATTGCAGCAGATATCTTCAAAATCAGAAACTTTTAACAATAGTCTCAGAGAGGCGAGTCTGCTGAAAAATGGATTTCAAGTGAAGGAAAATGCACCTGCTGGGGACTTCAATAAATAAGGTTGTGTTGGGAGTATTTTGAAATTAGATGTAAATATGTGTCGTGCATAGGCTATATAATATCTAAGGTCTCGTTCATTTCACTGCTTCGAGTGTTCAATTCGAGTTGAAAAGTAAATTTACTTGAAAAAAACACTGTAGCATACCAAGTTGAATTTGAATTTTTGTGAAAAAATCTTAAGTTGTTATTCAAATCAATAAAATGAATGGGGCCTAAATTGGTACGTCTATGTAGGGTAGGTTTCTCCTTCAGAATATAAAAAAAAAAAAAAAAAAAAAAAAAAAAGAAAAAAAAAAAAAAAAAAAAAAAAAAAAAAAAAGAGAGTAAAAAAATGGAATAAAATTGTAAGGTAGTTTTCCTAGTTTAGTATACTAGAAGTCAAATATATATATATATATATATATATAAACTATAATATTCTTGATAAGTCATTTGAGAGATTTTCCCCTACAAGTTAGCTGGTTTCAAGGCCTACTTAGGATTTCTTCCAATTTTATTCCAAATTGTTCGGATGACCTTCATTGTCGTTGTTTCTAATAATGGCGGCTTAATTGATGTTTCCCTTTCCTCCGGTAACCTTAATGGTTGTTGTGAACCTTTCAGAGTCCTTAATGGTCTTTGCCTCCGCCCCTTCCTCCAATAGCCTGATTCCTACGGCCTTCATCGTCGTTTCTTGTCTTTGAAATTAAGGTTGTGTTTGGTTGTATTACTGAACTAGAATAATAATATTAACATGTAATCAGGATAGAATGGAAAGACAAAACAACTCTTTTGTTTGATTGAGACTTTGGAATCATATCCCTAAATATGATTACTTCGTTTGATTAACTATGTAAAGGAATGATAATTAACATTGATTTGATCAAGTAATTCTGGGTTTGTTCTTTTGGAGTTTAACTTGAGTATAATTCTTGAGTTGAATTTAAATTATAACTTGAGTTGAACTTGTAACTTGAGTTTGTGTTTGGTTGTGTACATTTGAGTTATGGTTTGAGATAAGAATCTTTTTGAGTTTGTGTTTGAGTGAATCAAAACTTGAATTTGTATTTAGATAGTATTTTAATAAAAACTCAATGTTGATGAAAAAGTTTAATAGGGTATATGAGTTGGGTTTTATTCGTCTTTTCGTTGTCAATGCATAGAAAAAAAAATCATCTTAATAAACGAAAAAGTTATAGCATTTTTAAGAATAGAAAAAATATTGTTCATTAATTTGAGTTCGAGTTTCTGAACTCAAATTGAAGGGGAAACTTGAACTCGAGTTTTAGTCTTAAACTCGAGTTTGAACTCGAGTTTAAACTCGAGTTTAAATTTAAAAGAACATGAACTCGAATAAAGTTGTAACTCGAGTTGCCTTTTTTTGAGTTTTTCGCTCAAAAGAACAAGCTTTATATTTTGTATCGTTAATTAAGAATTGACTTATTAAGTAATTAAGTAATAAAATAATTATTTATTTGATGATATTTTGTAGAAGTAAAATAATTTTTAATTATTTAATTAAAGTGTTTGAATATTTAAGTATTTGAAACCATTATAGTAAAATATTTCAATAATTATTTAAATAATTAAAAGAACTATTACATTACTTATAATTCAATCTCGATTAAGGATATAAACTATAATTACTTAAATTTTTTATCAAGTTATTAATTGCTTATTATTAAAAAATTATTAATCGTTTAAACAATTAAAAGTTAAAATTTTATTTACTTACAATAAATAAAATAATTGAATATTAAATATTGATGTACAATCATAGAAGTGATTATTTAAAAAATTTTTTTTTTGAAGGAGTGATCATTTAATTATGGAAGAAAGAGGGAAATAGGCCAAGACTTGAGATGGATTAAAATTAATAGGCTAATAATTTACATAAGTTAATAAATAGGTCAAATTACTGTTTTCGTCTATAACTTGTCTAGTTATGAACCATAACTTGATAAGTTATTGTCCATAACTTATCTGGTTATGAACCATAACTTGACAAATTTATCCATAACTTATCTGGTTATGAACCATAACTTGATAAGTTATGGCCCATTAATTTCTATAACTAAAAAATAGCCTATATACTTTCTTAAGCTTTTCATATTGGCCTATTTCTTACTATTTTCCTTTAATTATTAAGATTACTTAAACAGTTATCATTTAATAAGAATAATTAAATAAAATAATTATTTATTTTAAATATAAGATAATTAAGTATAGGTGGTTCTATTACACCTCTTTTTTACTCTCCACACCCTCATTCTAAATACACACTCCACATAATTTTGAAAGAGCTAACTTTACTTTTTACATGCCCTTATCACTCAAAAATTACCCTTAACTTTTTTTTATTATAAAATAACTAATTCTTGTCCACTTCAATTTTCTCTTTACACCCATCATTTTATTTTAGTTTGTTATTTAAATAGTATTATTTCTCCATCTTTTCATTTTTTTTTTGTTGTTGAAGTTTTTGGGTGTGAAGCCTTAAAAAAAAAAAGAAATCAAATAAAAGATGAAACGGAAAAAAAAATCAATCTAACTTTAAAATGATTAGTCTTTAAAAAATCATGGGTAAAAATATAAACATGAAATGAAAAAAAAAAAGACAAAATAAAAATGTTCATAAACCAATAGCAAAAATAATTTAACTTGTATATCAATGCTACTTTTTAGAATAGTCATTAAAAGGTGAAAATTATAGTTTTTATTTTATTTTATAATTTTAAGTAGCAATAGTTTATAATTTAGGATATAACATGTGGGGTGTGTGGAGAGAGGTAAAAATTATATAATTAGTTTCTTTTTTGAATTAAATTTAATTACATAATTAAATATGTTATAATTATATATTCTTGTCATTTTATGTGAAGGTCCTTTGGTCATAAGAAAATTTAACGTAAAGGGGTGTGTAGAAAGTAAAAATGGGTGTATAAAGGGAGCCATCTTATGTATAGTAGTTGATAATAATTTCTTATTTTATGTGCTAAAATAATTATTTAATAATAATTTTAATTACTTCGTTATATTAATAACTTAAATAAAATAACACTTATAAATCATTGTTATTTGAAAATTTCGATTAATTATTGTTTTATTCTATTTAATGTAATAATGATTATTTATTATTTATTATTATAAACATGTGCATCCACTAACTGAATCTAAATGTAAATTATTAAAGAATTTGAATTGTGCTCCAAATAAATTAATAAAGTTATGCTTGTATCCCCTTTAATAAAAAAAGAATTCTATATATGCTCTCATTTGACACTAGAGAATATTTATTTATGTCTTTTGTGTGTTTATATTAGAGTGGTTATGTTTACACACTTTTTTTACTCTCCATATCCTTTTTGTAAATTGTAACACAAGATCAATGTAGTCTTTTCTCGTGAATTCGGGATTTACCGCCAACGATCGGGTTTTTGGGCAAATACTGTATTTACCAGTTGTCAGTGCCGGCAATCAAATTTTTGGGTAGATCCGTGTCAGGGATCAAATTTTTAAGAAAATACGATATTTTTAGGTGAATATGATATTTATCAGTCGTCGGCGATCACTGAATTTCTGAGTAAATATGGTATTTCTGCATAAATACGGTATTTACGAGTTAGAGTGGTGCTAGACACACTAACTCAAATCCCAACTTTTGTGTACCAACTGATGTAGTATGTGAGTTGTCATTTTTCTATTAGTATATGCAATCTTTTATCATTAATTAACATGATAATGTTTTAAACACCCACTAATATAAAAATGATAACTCACATGTCATATCAATTGGTACACAAGAATTAGAATTTGAGTTGGTGTGCTTAGCATTATTCTTAGTAAATATGATATTTGCAGATAAACACAGTATTTACTAGCCGCCAGTTGCGGACACGGGTCACTGGCCAATGTGAACTTGATCAGAGGAGGGAAGGAAAGAGGTGAGAAGAAGAAAGAGTTGGAGGGGTATTTTTAGTTTTTTAGTAGAGTTAGAAATCGAACAAATTAAATTATGCCTTACTATCTATTTCAAAAAAATTACGTTATAATTTACCCACACATCCTATTAAATATGTTATTTCTTTCTCTCAAGTAAAAAATACATTAAGTTGAGAAACAACAGAGTAAATAACTTCAAATTATTTTTAAGAAGTTGAGAGTATGTTCACCTAGAAAAAATTAAAATTAAAATGAATACATGGAATCATTAGTAAGAAAATGTAAGAGCAAAAAAATAAAAAATAAAAAAATAAAAAAAAGACATTTCTTGCCTTAAAAAAAGAGCCTCGTGGTACTCAGATAAAGATTAACAATTTCAATATTATCAAAACATAAAGGTATGAACGTAACAATGCAAGAACACCATGCTACATGAATGCTATTCACGATGATGATGATAGTAATAATAAATTAACATTCTATTCACCCATGATCATGATAATATGACATGAAAAATCATGACCCGAAATTGTTCATGTATTCCAAGGGTAACATTCGTCATCAGAGTCACATTCACAGGGCCCGTCGGGTTTTATACTCCAACAACAATCGTGATTATAACACCAAAACCTGTCTCTTTTCTGAACATAAATATCAAAATAATGGGAATTGCCGGGCCATTCCATACGGCAGAAGAAAAGCGTGCCGCCGAAAATGTTCGGCGCAAACCGGAATCCATAGCTTCCATTCGGAGCCACCACATGGATGCCAAGATCGTCGTCCTTGGACTTGCAATGAACCGTAAGATCCGTTCCTGTTCCCAAATCGTTGGTCATATGAACATGAGTTTTGACACCTTCACTCGTGCATATTGCCACTGAGAGTAAAGTCATGAGAAGGATCACATTTCTACTGAATGGAAGAATAACGAGACCCCCCATATTACTCCTCCAGTATTTTTACTTACTCTCTTGGTTTAGGATGGAAAATATTAGCATTCCAATGTGTAGATATAAATACACCATTGGTAAATAAATTATTGGGAAAGCGGTCTCGTTTATTTCACCGATTTGAATTTTTAATTTTAGGTTTCTACAGTAAAAAACTCTCAGAAAATATTACATCTAACTTTTTCTACTTCAGTAAAAAAATTTCAAAAAATGTCACATCTCAACTCGAATTGAAAACTCAAATCTGTGAAGTGAACGAGGCCTAATATGATCTCATATTAATTGTGCTTGGGATTATTTCCTAACAAGTCTAGATTTCTTATATACGTCAAAGATATATTTGCATGCTTGGAAGGGTACTCCGAAATGCCGAAGGAAAGTTTGCACAATTGGTTTATTTTCATGTTTTATGATTGAGACTGACATTGCCATAAAATGATAACGTAATACTTTCCATTAATTCACGAAAGGAGACGTATCTTTTGAAGTCAGAATTGATTTTCCTTGATTTCTAACACATTGCATGAAGAGATCCTCGAGGAATCATGAGCTAGTCGGAACATTATTAGAAAGAGTATTTCCGAGCAAGTCCAAATTTCATTCCTTATGGGTTAATAACATACAATAAATAAATAAATAGGAGGAGGAGAGAGAATTCACTAGTCTATTGATGGAATAAAATAATCATATAGTTTTTTTTAGGAGAAACTCTATTCAGGTTATTAAATAAATAATAAATAATTAATATATCTATTATGTAATATACAAATTATAATTTATTAGTGAGTAAATAATTGCTAATGAATAAATGAATAAATTGTATTTACCAATCAAATTAATATTAATTTATAACTATTAATTAGTAATTAATGATTATTTAAGAAATAATTATAAAAAATTGACATGTGATATACCAAATAATAGGCTATAATAAACATTAATAATTAATTAATATTTTAATTATGTAATAAAAAGTTAATTATTTATTTAGTAAATAGAATGCTAATACATTGTTAATATTCTAATTACTTTTTATTAATCTAATAATTAATTACTCATAAACTAATAATTATGACAGAGTTACTAACATAATAATTTACTTATATACTAATTATTAATTATTTAGCATATTAATTTATTATTAATGTAATCACTAACGGTAATGTATTCATTATTACTACTCTTATATCCTTTCTTTTTTTTTTTTTCATTTTTTCCGACGATTTGTTGTTTTAAATGAGTATAAAATATAAAATGCCTAAAATACATATTGTTTTCTAGTCTACTTCTTTTCTCATGGAGCTTAAAGTGCCTACAATTGCAATTTAAAATTAGAGACTTTTTTTTGGTAGGACTTCTTTATTAGTAAGATTAGTTTTAGACTGTTGGATATGATTTAAATCATATTAAATTAAAAAAATATGCATAACAGATAGTTTTTATTACAAATATAATGGCTGAAAATAAAATATTACTGATAGCTTATTTTTTATGGTCTAACTAGAAAAATTCTTTTAAAATTTATTTTTGTAACGCCTTTCAGAATTAAACATATTTAATCATGCTAAATTATGAGTTATTAGTATGTCTAATTTGATTTTTACAATTAATCAAGAGACTTTAAATTATTTTCAGTATTTATGATTTCATTTTCACCCCAAAATTTTTTAAAAATACACTTAAATTTTAATGCATTTTTCTATTCCTTTCTTTTTTCTTTTTCCTTTTTCTTCTTTTTCTT